CCGGTGAGTCCAAGGAAAAACTCATTTCTGGATTTCCCAGAAAGTGACAACAATCCGCAATCGCTAACCTTAAACTCTAAGGGCTGATTATTTACCCGAGAGCTAACCCGAACCGCGGCTTTACATAAGCATTGGGCCGTGCGTATTCTCTAAAAGAGGGTTGTTTTCACTTAATGAATATCCTTCCACTGCTAGCTTTCGGCCCCCTTGACACTGTTCACAAAAATAAATGTTCAAACATTCAACAAAATTCAAGGTAGTTTATTCCGACGCGGTTTTATTAAACAACGGCTATACTTTGTTTAAATAACCAGTACCCAGGTTCCAACTCTTTCTTCTCCACATCCATCCATTCCTCATTCTAATTACGCTTGACCCCCACCCCTCATCCCTGGGTTTGTACTCCTCACCCCTCAGTTACATGCTCACCAAGACTTCTTACCACTCTCTTTCGTTTCAGAGCATTAAAGCTCCGCACGAGTTACTCATGAACTTACCACTTTTCGAGAGAGGTCTAGATTTCTTCATCGTTAAGATAATCTGAAAACGAAGTTAAATGAAAAAAGAACTGATACTGTTGTCTGACTTGATAACGAGGCTAGTATATAGATCGTGTAGGGGTGGACTGGGGATTATTGGAATTGTAACAGTTTTAATTTGTTGTCACCTTGCTAGCTACGAGTACTTCTTTTTATTCGTGGCGATGATTCGAGGGCGTATTCTGTAAAGGCGTGATTCGATCATTGAATAACATAATTTAAAACACTAAAATAACATGACCAACTGCCAAAACCACAACACAATAGCTAACTGATAAATATTTTTTTTAACAGTCAGTGAGAAACATTTGCAAAAGACTTTATTCTCTTAAATAATGGACATACCTTTTCTAAATAAAAAGAATCATTATGCTGTATCAACGCGTTAGGATGATTCTCCTTGTTTTCACCCAAAAGTACACATGTTTCTGTATTTACCAGCAAATTTGCACTCGCAAGCGAGCTGAATAGTACACCTTTGTGAACACGACAGCGAAGAGGCGGTCTTACCTTCCCAAATCGCGTTTCAGTTCTAGAAGAAAATAATTTTCTCTTATCTTAAAAAAGGGTGCTGTTCTTTTTTGCCACGGTTATTGCTATGATTGAAAAAAAAAATAGGAGCGAAATCGCCTCACGGGTCTGTGGAAAAAATTAAAAGTAGAAATAATAGTTGTTTTATTTTTATATTTCAGGTGGACGGCCAAGCTCCCGTGAGGGCGGTGCAATGCCTGCCGACTACAGGTCTAACCCAACCCATGGCGAGAGTGCAAAGCCTTAGGGTCACAGGTTCCAC